ATCTAGGTAAAATGTTGCCTCTCTTTTAAACGTTTGGCTCCCTGCAGTTGTAACTGCCCTCTCTGTTCTGACAGCCTAGTCATCTACTCCTACCTTAAGCTAGCCCTCCCACTGATTTATAAACCCTCTAATGGCAAATTAAATACCCATCTTTGTCTAACAAGCCCAAGTCAGTGTCTTGGGCATGACGGATAAATAGCATTCATATTGAATTGAATGGGATTTTGATGGAGAGTGATGTGCACAGCACAAAGAGTAAGACACACAAACTTCCTACTTCTTATGTGCTGGCCAGTAAGGAAATACAGCGCTTTTCCACACTTCCACTTCTGTATCCTTTCACTAAAACAGAAGTATCTTCTTAGAGTAGTACTTTAGTCTCGCTTGGAAAAAAAGTGTAACTTTATGCCATTTACATATGCTTAAATAAATACAGATTTTTCACTTGAATTCCTATACACCAGGAACCTTGAAGTTTATATTCGACTTGACTCCATCTTCAGAGTCCAAAGAAATAAGTCAAAAGGTATCAAATATGCAGGTCAGATATTTCTTCTGTAATCAGAGAGGAATAGAGAGCAAGCCCTGTTTGCCTATTAAATAACGATTCAAGTTATTTTATTAATGATAAGTGATAACCCACAGCAAGACAGCCTATGGCAAGGAAAGCTCATGGGATTTAGAGAGACGGGCACTTAAACTTTGAAGCTCATCTTGTGTGACCGTGTGAGGGTGCCCCATGCTGGTGCTGCACTGTTCTTACCGTAAGCGTGGCTGTGTTCTCATCGTCGGACCACTGCATGGACAGAGAGAAACATTACATTTAAATAACATGTTGGGATTCCACAGGTAATACTCCACCTAAAAATGATAAACAGGAGACATCTTTCCCTGGACATAAAGCTTATATGTAAAAGTATGTGTGAAGGGTGAAGAGATGGCTCAGTGGGTAAAAGAAATTACTGCACAAGCAGGAGGACCTGAATTTCAATCCTCAACACCCATGTAAAAAGTCAGGCATGACTGTGCATGTCTGTAACTCTAGTGCTAAGGGTTGGGGGAATTCCTGGGGCATGCTGGTCAGTGCCAGCCTAGCAGAAAACAGTGAGCCTCAGGTTCAGTAAGAGACGCTGTCTCAAGAGAATAAGGTGGGGAGTGACAGAGCAGGACACACACACGTACACACACACACACACACGTCAAAGTAAGACTTTCATATAATCAAACTTAAGGAAAGATCTGCAAAAACGTTTCAGATATCATTTAAATTAGAACTGTTGGTCGAAAAGACTTTCTACCAACCTGTATTTCTTCTGCTTCATTATCACTGTTTGGCTGAGAACATGTTGGTGGGTCTTCCCTAAGAAAACATAACCAAAAATTAAACAAGACAAGACTTTGGTGCCATGAAGTCATAATTTCAACTATAATGAATTTATTAAAAATAAAAACAAAACCCAAATAACCTTAGAATTGGAGAGAAATATAAGGAAATACTCATTTCTTGAGACAGAAGCAATTTTTAAAAAATTTTTATTTATTATTTTTATTTTATGTGTATGTGTTTATAGCCTGCATGTAGGTAAGTGCACCAGTGTCCTGCAATGCCTGTGGAGGACAGAAGAGGCTGTCAGATCCCCTGGAACTGGAGTTACGGACAGTTGTTAGCTGCCATGTGGGTGCTGGGATTCGAACCTGGTTCTTCTGCAAGAATATTCTGTGTTCTTAACCGCTGAGCCATCTCTCCAGCCCCATTTTTTTTTTTTTTTTGTCTTTTTGAGACAGGGTCTCCCTGTAGCCCCAGCTATCCTGGAACTCACTATGTAGACCAGGCTGGCCTTGAACTCAGAGATCCGCCTGCCTCTACCTTCAGAGTGCTGGGATTAAAGGCGTGCGCCACCATGCCTGGCTGCCCCAATTTTTAAAAATATTTAATTTATTATTTTTATTTTATGTGTATGAGTGTATTGCCTGCATGTAGGTAAGTGTACCCGTGTCATGCAATGCCTGCAGAGGACAGAAGAGGCTGTCAGATCCCCTGGAACTGGAGTTACGGACAGTTGTTAGCTGCCATGTGAGTGCTGGGATTCAAACCCAGGTCTTCTGTAAGAACAGTCAGTGTTCTAAACTGCTGAGCCATCTCTCCAGCCCCAAGACAGAAGCTGGTTTTTAAAAAAAACATAAAATTAACGAGCATATACTGCCAGAAGAGGTGGCAGAATAAAACCTTTGCCTGCTCAGAAATCACTTGAGATGGGACAAAAATACCTCAGACATCATCGCCAGTAAAACTATAAGGTTCATCTACAACTTGGACCAGAAAAGCACCAGAAAGACAGGGAAGAGCTCACAGGGTGACGGGAGACACAGCAGGGAAGTGGGGTGAGGGTCAGTGTGGTTAGTGGACACCGCTGGCAGGCAAAACCAAGACCTTTTCTTCAGACAAGGAGAGCTAAGTACGTGCTCTGCTCTTAAGAATTACTCTGGACCTGCCCTGCATTACAGAAAAGGGTAGAAGAGAAAGAGGAAGAAACAGGCACACTGTATCTGAAGAAGCCGGTAAGCAAAGCGGGTACTGTAATGCGCTGTCTAGCAGCCAGTGTCTGTCTAACTGGGAGACGGAGGCTGGAAGAACCACAAGGGTACACTGTGAACAGCACCCTGGCCATCCAACAGCCACTGCAAACAGCCTAGGAAGATCTCACACCGCTGCGAAATAAACAAATACAAACAGGAACATCTGTGGATCTATGCGAAGACTAAGAAAAAAAGGGACATTCTGGGTTAAAGGTGCGCATCTATTTCTCCGTTCCCTTTTGAAATTGTACTAAAATAACAGACTCCAGGGACAAAGATGACGAAGAAGGAGGCAGGTACAGAGGAATGGCATGGGGAGTTCTGAAAAACAACAGCCAATGAGAGAAACAACCGAGGAGCCACAAGTTAGAACTTAGAAAGATGGAAGACGGGGGCTGGTAAGACAGCTCAGGGGAGACGGTGCTTGCCTCCAAGCCCGCAGCCCTACTTCCACAAGGTGGAAGGAGAGACCTCGCTGCCGTCGGATGCCTTCTGAACCCCACATGCACGCTGTGGCAAGAATGTGCCTGCATGTGCCCCACCCCTACACCAAATACATAAATAAATGTAATATAATTTTTTAAAAAAAATACAGAACATGGGACATTTTGGACTAAAAAAATAATTTGTCCAAAGACCGTTTGAGGAACAGTAAGACACACCCAACCTTTCATACCTTGCACACTCCAGTAGCTAATCCCCCTTACCCCTGATCCCCAACCTCCCCACCCCATAAGCAGGTAAGCTTTTTTATCTCTGGAAAAACTAAAGAAGGTTAAGTGTTTAGATGCATCACAGCCCAGAAAAATACAGAGATGAAATATGAGACTATGCTGAAGTTAATGTGAAAGACAGTGGGTTATGACTTCCAAAAAGAATCCCTGGAGGTTCCTGGGCCAGGTAGCCTGGCATAGCAGAAAGAAAAGCAACTAACAGACCTTGTGTCAAACAAGGTGGCTGGTGAGAACCAACACATTAGGCCGTCCTCTGACCTACCTCCACATGCATGCCACAGCATCTGCACACCACATCCACACACAGGAGTGCACATACACACACAGAAGGAGAGCTGAATCTCCAAACATTACAATAGAAAGTCATGTAATAATGTTGAGACTAGAGATAGTGTAAGTGTATTGCTTTGACATATGAAGCCAGAGTGAGTCCGATGACATTTATTCATGGTCCACTGTACTGTATTCTTCCAAGAAGCAGCAATCACTAGAAATGCACAGTCCCCTTCGGAAATAAAAAATATGATACTCTTGGTTTATCAGTCAATCTGTTGTGATATTAATATGCATCCTATTCAACTGTGTAATTCTGAAGGACTGAGTTTCCAAATCTAAGAACCAGGTAGTATCTTAAAGCAATAACACTAACATACTGTAAACTCCTCCCCACACAGGGAACTACATCTCTCTCATCTGTCCTAAATGCCACGTTGTTTTTCAATGCAACATTATTATTAACATGGTTCACTTAGCCTTATACTACAAAGGTACCCTCCCAAACCTGCAAGTATCTTTACTACTTTAAAATCACTTATTGTTCTCACTATAACAGAATACATTTTGGAATATATTTGTAACCGGTGTGTGTATGGCTTTGCAGAGAACTTATCATACTGCCACTGTGAAGTGACTCCAAGTAAGCCCACGAAGACTTATTTTAGATTTACTTTGTTTGAATGTGCGTGTGCGCACACACACTGGTACACAAGTGGAGGTCCGAGGACAACATGCAGGAGTCAGTTCTTTCTTTCTACCATGTGGGTCTGGGGAGTTGAATTCATGTTGTCATGCAAAGGTCTTTACCTGCTGACCATCTTGTTGGCCCAGGAGTCTATACGTTTTTTTTTTTTAAATTTAAAAGATTTAAAGAACTTATTTAGTGTGTGATTGTGTATGTGCATGCAATGGCAAGCCTTCGGAGAGCAGAAGTTGGTTCTTTCTTTCTACCTTGTGGGTTCCAAGGAATGAATTCAGGTTGTTGGATGGGCAGCAGTACCTTTACCCCTGAGCCATCCCACTGGCCCAGGCCTCTATTCTTTCTTTATGGCATCGTACACAGAGCTGGCCCCTGAGAGCACTGGCTCTGGAGCCACAAAGATGGCTGAAAAGTCTCAGTCCTGCTGGTGTTCACCCCGGGTTCTCCATGCTCCACCCACACGCCCTTCTTCTAGCATCTTGATGAGATCTTCCATGCTTCAGGGCTTTTAGATTGGAAGATTCTTCTCTTTCACTTTTCAACTGACTAATCTTCATGATTCAGAGCAAAAGCTTTTCCTTCGAACACTCCCTGACTTTCTTCAGAATCCCAAGCTTGCCTAGCAGCCTAGTATCAGTGACTACCCTGGATAACATTTATCTCAATTTTCACTTACATATTTACTTATGTTTCCTTAATAGCTGGACTTACTGAGATTAATAATGATAGTATCTTGTATGTGTTAAAAACATGCAAAGAATAATAATAAATAGCAACAACAAAAAAATAAAGAACATACTACAGGGTTGGGGACGTAGCTTAGGAGATAGAATGCCTGCCTGCACGTACAGGCCCTGGGTTCCACCCCCAACATGGCACAAATCAACTGTGGTAATGCATGCCTGTAATCTCAACACTTTGGAGTTCATAGAAGCAGGAGAATGAGAATACATAGCGAATGTCAAGCCAAAAATATATACTGGGTATTGGGCTGATTATCTGATATATTACTGCTCTTTACCCTTATACCACCTCAATCAAGGAAGTTCTACACTACAGGCAGAAAACGGAAACACAGGGAGAGATTGGAGAGATGGCTCAGTGATTAAGAGTGCTTGTGTTCTTCCAGAGAACCCTAGTTTGGCTCTCAGCACCCACATTGGGAGGCTCACAATCATCTGTAATTCCAGTACAAGGGGACTCAATGCTCTTTTCTGGTCTCTTGAAAACCTGCACATATGTGCACATACACATATGTGCATATGCATATAGACACACAAACAGAAAAAATGATTAAATAATAATAAAGGAAAACTGAAACACAGTGATTTAGAAAATAGCAAACTGGGGCTGGAGAGATGGCTCAGCGGTTAAGAGCACTGACTGTTCTTTCAGAAGACCCAGGTTCAAATCCCAGCACCTAACAATCCCAGCAGCTAACAATCATCCATAACTCCAGTTCCAGGGGATCTGATGCCTTCTTCTGCCTTCTCAGGGCACTGCACAACATGGGTGCACTTATATATATGCAGGAATAACACTCATACACATAATAAATAAACTTTAAAAATTAAAATTAAAAAAAAAATCCATCAGACAATAATGTAAGGTCAAGTTGGATATGGTGCCATACATCTTTAATTCTACCAATCAAGAGACTGAGAAAGGAGGCTCATGAATTCAAGGCCAGCCTGGGCTACAAAGCCAGCCTAGGCTATGTAGCCAGCTTAGAGAACATAATGAGACTATCTCTCATAAAATAAATAAAAGGTAGGCAGGGTGGCACATGTCTTTAATCCTAGCACTCAGGAGGCAGATTTCTGTGAGATCAAGGCTACCCTGGTCTATGTAGCAAGTTCTGGGCTGGGGCTACAGGGAGACCCTGTTTCAAAAACTCAAAACAAACAACAAACAATACGAGTAGAGCTGGCTCAGTGGTTAAGAGCACCAGATGCTCTTGGAGAAGAATTGAGTTCAGCTCCCAGCACCCACATGGCAGCTCCAGGGGGGATCTGACACCCTCTTCTAGCCTCCACAAGCATTGCATTCATGTGGTGCACTTATATACATGCAAGGAAAACAGTCATATGCATAAAATAAAAATAATTTTTAATAAAAAAAAAGAAAAATAGGCCAGGCGTGGTGGCACAGGCCTTTAATCCCAGCACTCAAAGGCAGGGGCAGGCGGATCTCTGTGAGTTCAAGGCCAGCCTGGTCTACATAGTGAGTTCAAGGACAGCTGGGGCTACAGGGAGACCCTGTCTCAAAAAGACCAAAAAAGGAAAAAAAAAAAAAATTCACAAGATTAAGGAATTAAACGGTAAACCCTAGTAGTTTTCTGTTTCAAATGAACTGTGAATGTAGCTTATCCCCACACTGCTATCTTCAGAAGGAACAGGTACTGGCATGTGCCTCCTCTAACACAGATCAAAGGAACAGCTCTATTTCATAACTAGAGGGGATTATGCAACTTTGGAAAAATTAGCTGAGCACCGACAAGGGATCTCAGACAAAAATCAGTATTTAATTTTAGTCAAGCGAAAAGGAGAGGCTGATGTGCCTAGGTTAATCTCTATTTATATGGCAGATGTTGAGATTTAATCAATACAATATTTCTTTATGATTAAGTTTAAAGAGGTGTTTGTTTTCCACTATACTTTACCTTCCTGAAACCACCAGAGTCCCGTCATCGAGTAAATAATCTTTCACATTCTGAGGAAGTGGAAGAACAACACTGAAAAAAACAGCGAAAAAGGAATCACTGAAAAAGACTGGCCACGGCAGAGAAGAACCAGACTTCACCCATCTCAGTCACCACTTCTACTTTAATATAAAACAGAGCAACAACCAGGAACTAGACAACAGGAGTAAACACTGAAGTTCACACCATTACCATATGCGTTCTGATGGTAAAGAAAACAAAACACCCTGCCAAATCTAAAGAACCAGATGGAAATCACAACATGAAAGAATTCTGTGAGCACAGTGAGGCTGTGACTTTAAGGAATACTTGTAACAACATGGGCAGTGCAGGAACAGCCGGAAAGATTTAACAGCATTTGGTTACCGTCTGAGGTGGAAGGTGCAGGAGAGTCAAAATCTGGAAACATTCTTCCATTGGCAATGGTATGTTTGGTGTGTTTTTGAGGCAGTCTGTTCAACTTATCACCAGAGATATAAACCTGACTATTTTCTCTTAATTTAGTCCAGATAACCATAATTAAGAATGGCAAGCGGTATTTGAAGACATTTGACAACTTAGGGGATATTTATTTTTACCCTATAATAACAAATCATCAAAAGGGGGCTGGAGAGATGGCTCAGCAGTTAAGAGCAAAGATTACTCTTCCAGAAGATGTGGGTTCGATTCTCAGCATCCATATGGTAGCTAACAACTGTAACTCTTAGTTCCAGGGGATCCGATGCCCTCTTCTGACCTCTTTGGGTACTGCATGACAACAGGTGCACCTACCCACACGCAGGTAATACACACATACACATAAAGTAAAAATAACAAAAATATTAAAAAGAAATGACCGGGCAGGCCACTCTCCGGAGTAAGTCCATCGCGCCCTCCGCGCCTTGACTCCCCCAGCCTCATTCACCCTCCCATCTCCCGCACCTGTCTCTCCTCCGAGTTCGGGTCCTGCCCCATTCCTTGTCTTGGGGCCCCAGACACCTGGGGAACCAATATTACTCCGTGATCCTTTTCATCCGGACCAACACAGTGCTTTCTCTGGGCCCCAGGAGCACTGCTTCTGGGCCTGGCCCTGCCCTCACCTCCCTCTGCTTCCTTGGGACTGCACCATCCACCAGCCTCTTCCTGGGACATGGGGGCTGACCTTTCCTCTTCCTGATCCTTTGCATCCAGACCAACCTAGCTCCTTAGTGCAGTCCCCAGGAGGCCTTGGGGCCACTGCCCACCCCATCGGCCTTTGCATCTCTGGGTGGCAAGGAGACCAGCATCTTTCCTGGGCCAGGCTCCCAGGGCAGTCCAACCCCCAAATTCCTAAGGCCAAAACCTTTCCCGGAGGGGTCCAGACCTTAGGAGAAAGCCTGAAAACATCTGACCCTCACCTGAATTGGGCCTCTGTGGGAACTCCTGAAGACAAAAACAATCCAGCCACTCCAATATAAAATCAAAAGAGAGAACTGGAAGCTTAGACAATCCAGCTTTTCATGCCCAAAAAGTAAACCACAAAGACACATACAGTTCAG